GGGAGAGTACCAATAATGTGCTAGTAAGCTTGTTTTTGTTTTTGTTTTTGTTTTCTTTTTGACATTCCCAATGCATTAATACTATTAGTGGTGCTTTTTTTAATAATATGAATCATTGTTATTATTTTATTTATTTTTTCACAAATATCATATCAAATTATAAAAAAAATTAACTATCTATCCAAACATAACTATTTTAACTCAATAAAATAACCAACTTCCTAAATGCCCACAATAAGGCTGCTAATTCAAAAAAATCAACTAAATTTAAATTTAAATCACAAAATAATAATTTTAAATAATTAAATTTAAATTTGTAATATTACTACTATATAAGATATTTGATAATTGGGTCTTTAGCAAATTTTGGAATTTAGACCTTGACCCTTGCTTTTCCAATGGACCGTTTGGCACGCGCCAATACAGAGGTATGTGGGGTACAAGACATTTATTGTTTTTTTTGGTGTCATTCATTGTCTTTGTCACCATAACGTAATAATGAATATTTAATTAAATAAAAAAAACACAGATAGAAAAAGAGAAATAGAGAGCAACCTAACCTAACCGTATACAAATAAGTGGGGAATTGCTGTCTAAAATAGTCTTCCCATTCAAGTAAAGTTTGTTGTTGTTGGCCAATCTTGAGTGACAAAGTAGCCAACCCTTCTCTCTCTCTCTCTCTCTCTCTCTCTCTCTCTCTCTACCCATTTCAGACCATGATATTTCATACCATGATATGATATGATCAACCCAAGCAAAAAAACAAAAATTAAAAAATCAGAAAAAAGGTGAGAAAGGTAGGAAGAAAAAGTAAAAACCTTGCAAGGAAGAACCAGATTCTAAGTTCTCTAAAGAGACTTGGTAAAAAGCAGAGTCTGAACCCAAAATTCTTCACTATTATGAAGGGTAGAAGCATGTTATGGTGTGCTTCAGGAGAGGGAGGTTAGAGAGAGAAACTAATTAAGAGTTTTAGGTTCATCTCTCTCTTCTTCCACAGTTGCTTTCTTTTTTCCTGGTTCAGCTTTCTGAAAGGTGTTTGGAAGAATGGAAAATAACTTCTTCAGGTATAATTACTTTCTTGTTTGTCTCAATTGCACATGGGTATGTGCTAATTTATTTTATTTATGGAATTAATTGACTGTAAATCTTGAAAAGGTAGGTTTTTGGGTTTCTTCCTTTGTGGGTTCTGAAATTTTTGTTGGGTAAAATTCTCCTATTAAATTCCTTTCTTACTTTGCTCTGTCTTGCCTTGTAGTCTTTGATGTTTGTTTACCTGGTGAACTGTTAATTTGTCTTTAAACTGTTACAGATATATTTTATAATCTCTTTGATTTTCTTCAAATAAGGCATTTAAAAAAAAAAAATTTAAAAATGGCAATTCACATATATAAATAATTGTAAACACAATCCGTGCATAGCACACGGTGATATGCTAGTATATATATATTGAAATTGAAAGTTGTCTTTCAATTTTAATTTCCAAGATTTTTTTTTAAAATTTTTATTAGCAGGTCAATCTAAAATTTAATTTAAGTTTATTTTTTCTAAAAACGAAAATGTTTTTTATTTTTATTTTTATATATTTTATATTTTTATATATATATTTTTATAATAAGCAATGTTAGAGACTTTAAATAAATTATCAAATATTTTACATAATATTCACATAAGGCATTGGCTTCCCTCCAGTCCCAGATCGGATTGGAGGGTAATGTTGGGCTTGTGGAGGCTCACCATGGGTCTCGTTTCAATAATTCGAACCGTTTAATTATGTGTAGAACTCATCGAACACTATATGCTTGTAAAAAATCACGTTGATCAGATATTGATAGTTATCTCATCGAATTAATTTTTTGTCAATTGTTTATTTTTTCATTGTCTATTTTATTTATACAAAAATGATTTGATCTCTTAACTTTCGATAACAGATCAATATGATTTTTTACAAACATATAATACTTGACGAGTTTTACAAATTGAACGGTTCAAATTATCCAAACGGGTCCCATGATAGGCCCCTACAGGCCTAGCAACACCCTACAATCCGATCTGGGACTGGAGATTGGACTGGAGGGAAGTCAGACCCTCCACATAAATATAAGACCCACACCATTTGGGACCCACACCATTGGGGGTGTTTGGAAGGAAAAAGTTTTGGTTTTTTTGACTAAAATAAACAAAATATGTTAAAATAATTAATAAAATAAAATGTCACATCAAATTTATAATTATTTTATGAAAAATGATTAAGAGCACTAAAATGGGAGCACTAGTAATGTGCTAGTAAGCTTGTTTTTGTTTTTGTTTTTGTTTTCTTTTTGACATTCCCAATGCATTAATACTATTAGTGGTGCTTTTTTTAATAATATGAATCATTGTTATTATTTTATTTATTTTTTCACAAATATCATATCAAATTATAAAAAAAATTAACTATCTATCCAAACATAACTATTTTAACTCAATAAAATAACCAACTTCCTAAATGCCCACAATAAGGCTGCTAATTCAAAAAAATCAACTAAATTTAAATTTAAATCACAAAATAATAATTTTAAATAATTAAATTTAAATTTGTAATATTACTACTATATAAAATATTTGATAATTGGGTCTTTAGCAAATTTTGGAATTTAGACCTTGACCCTTGCTTTTCCAATGGACCGTTTGGCACGCGCCAATACAGAGGTATGTGGGGTACAAGACATTTATTGTTTTTTTTGGTGTCATTCATTGTCTTTGTCACCATAACGTAATAATGAATATTTAATTAAATAAAAAAAACACAGATAGAAAAAGAGAAATAGAGAGCAACCTAACCTAACCGTATACAAATAAGTGGGGAATTGCTGTCTAAAATAGTCTTCCCATTCAAGTAAAGTTTGTTGTTGTTGGCCAATCTTGAGTGACAAAGTAGCCAACCCTTCTCTCTCTCTCTCTCTCTCTCTCTCTCTCTCTACCCATTTCAGACCATGATATTTCATACCATGATATGATATGATCAACCCAAGCAAAAAAACAAAAATTAAAAAATCAGAAAAAAGGTGAGAAAGGTAGGAAGAAAAAGTAAAAACCTTGCAAGGAAGAACCAGATTCTAAGTTCTCTAAAGAGACTTGGTAAAAAGCAGAGTCTGAACCCAAAATTCTTCACTATTATGAAGGGTAGAAGCATGTTATGGTGTGCTTCAGGAGAGGGAGGTTAGAGAGAGAAACTAATTAAGAGTTTTAGGTTCATCTCTCTCTTCTTCCACAGTTGCTTTCTTTTTTCCTGGTTCAGCTTTCTGAAAGGTGTTTGGAAGAATGGAAAATAACTTCTTCAGGTATAATTACTTTCTTGTTTGTCTCAATTGCACATGGGTATGTGCTAATTTATTTTATTTATGGAATTAATTGACTGTAAATCTTGAAAAGGTAGGTTTTTGGGTTTCTTCCTTTGTGGGTTCTGAAATTTTTGTTGGGTAAAATTCTCCTATTAAATTCCTTTCTTACTTTGCTCTGTCTTGCCTTGTAGTCTTTGATGTTTGTTTACCTGGTGAACTGTTAATTTGTCTTTAAACTGTTACAGATATATTTTATAATCTCTTTGATTTTCTTCCCCTGTCCTAATTTCAGTTTTTTTTTTTTTTTTTTTCCCTAGAAAAATCATCTTCTTCTATTCTTGTTCCCTGTACAGAGGAAATAGACCAGGCTTGGGCTAGAATTTGTCATTTCCTTAATTCATATGTATGTATGTCACAAGAATTTGACATGAGATCTTTGCCTCAAAAAATATATTTTTGGATCTGTATGGATAAGAATATTTTAATTAGGTTTTAATATCACACACTTGGCTCTGACTGCACAATCTTGAATCCTAGAATATAGTAGGTGATTCTGATATGTGAAATCATGCAGAGTATCTAAGTTATTTACTGAGAATTTGAATCCCAACTGAAATTGTCCTCGTTTGCTCCATCAATTTAAAGTTTTTTTTTTAGAAGTTTTATTTTCTTTATTTTTTCCCATTTGTGATTCTTTGTGGTGAATAATCCAGGACAGAGAAGCAATTTTCTTGTCGTAGATCGACAAACTAACTCATCTGAATGAAAACAAGTTCTTGGAATTCGATATCATGATAATTTGTTTATATTTGTCTGATTTTCTGTCTTGTATATCTGTTATTCATCAATTTTGACCTAGATGATCATAAATGCCGAAAATATTCGGCTGTGAAGAATGTATAAAACTCGTGGATCATAAATTGAGAGCGGTTTTTAATCTGTACTATTGAGGGTATTCATAGTCATTGACATGACACTGTAAACATTCATATGTCCCGAACATTGCTTCATCATATATAGCTCATTGGGAGGCCATAAACTCTTATAGGTGATCTTCATTGTAATGCGATATCTGGATGTTGGATCATCTGTAATCAATTATACTAATTTGTTTTTCCCATTTCAGGGAGGAAAAGTGATGCTAGAAACATGGGGAAGAAGGGAAGTTGGTTTTCTGCAATCAAGAGGGTTTTCATACCCAGTTCTAAGGAGAAGCCTGTAAATGTAAGTGAAATCTTACTTGGTGTGTGTTTAGATGCAATTTCAAGTAGTAATGACGTCCAATTTCTAACCACAAAAGAAATCAGTAATCAGATTACAAGGCCCCAAAAAATGCTTTTTGTTTTTGATGACATATGTTGTGTTCAAATGAAAAAAAGTAAAAAATTCTAGTTTTTTTGGTTTTTCAAAGGCTTTTGGCCTAGAACGTCAATCAAAAGATTTTTTTTTTTTTTTGAAAATTAATTATTATTTTTTTGCTTGCTGAATCAAAATTTGTGTTCGTCATACCAAACATGCAAAGTTAAGAGAGCCGGCCATCTTGTGTAAAGTTGGTTTTTTTCAAAATTTAAATTGTAGAACAACTTAAGTTTTGTTTGAATATGTGCTGTTTGTTTAGAGTTTTGGAAGTGCTTGTACTTCTCTTGCTTTGAGACTGAAAGCAAGGAAGATTTTGTGATGCTTTTCAGTTGATGTCATTGGTTTCACTTAATTAGGTCGTATTGTTGTAGGGATCGGAGAAGAAAAGTTCCAAGGAAAAGAAGAAGGGGCGAGGAATATTGAGGCATGGAGAGACGAAATCATTCATTCCCCTCTTCAGGGAGCCGAGCAGTATTGAGAAAATCCTCGGGGAAGTAGACCAACAGAACATACTTATTGGGCCATCCACGCCTGCTGAGGAACCAAAACCAGCACCTTTGGTGGTCCCCCGGGCTGCCTCTCCTAGGGTTGCTTCTCCAAAAGTTGTGTCTCCTAGAGCTACTTCTCAACGTGTTACGTCTCCCAGAGCCTCTGTTCAACGAGTTACGTCTCCCAGAGCTGCTTCACCACGTGTTGCTTCTCCTAAAGCGGCTTCTTCAAGAGCTTTTGTTCAGCATCACCATAAGGAAGTCAGCTACAGGCCAGAACCGACTCTAAGATTCCACCATATTTCTGCCACCAAGATCCAAGCAGCCTATAGAGGCTACATGGTAAGATTTCTTAGTTTTTGTTGTTTGGTGGTTGAATTTAAATAGATAATGAAATATATAATAGAAAAACTAATAAACAAAGTCCAACTTGACTCAGTTTTTATTTTATGAACTCTTATATCTGGTACTGGCATTACCAATTGAGACTGTTTAAGATTGAGTTGTTAGTTCTTCCCTTTGAGATCCCTTTCATCCATTTGCTAGCACGTCCTCACTTTTGTGCTGTGTTTAGATCTTGGATTTGTATAGGGAAAACAAATCATAAACAAAAAGTGGAAAAAAAAAATTCAGCTTCTACTTCATTCATTTTTTCCGTCCTGTTATTTTCCTTCGACAAATCCAAGATCCAAACACAGCATTGGGGACAAACCAGCTTTGACATACCAGTTAATTGATTATGGTTTGACCTTAATCCCGTAAAACTTAAGCATGTAATATGTAATTTGTGGACATATTCATTGACTGGACTGTACTAGGCCACATTTTTTTTTCTTTTTAACTATTTCAGAGAATGTTTTCACATTTCAGAGCCATCTCAGAATGGCATAAGGTTATTTGGTTGGTTTGGTTTTTATGGCTCCAGTATTTGATTCTCACCCAATTGACGTTGCGAGTGTTTTTATTATACAGGCAAGGAGGAGCTTTAGAGCTTTGAAGGGTCTTGTGAGGCTTCAGGGAGTGGTGAGAGGCCAGAATGTGAAGCGACAAACTGTGAACGCCATGAAAATGATGCAACTCTTAGTGCGCGTTCAAACTCAAATTCAGTCGCGCAGGATCCAGATGTTAGAAAACCAAGCAATCCAACGTCAATCTTACAAGAACGACAAGGAATTAGAGAGTAACTTCGGCAAATGGACTGCAAGCCAGGTACTAGTTATTTAAGTTTTACAGTGATTCATTTGTAATTGCTTTCCTACTTATTACCCTTTCATTATTGGCCCATTTATGGGAGGTTTTGACCAACATGTTCACACTAGTTGTGACTTTGAAAAGTTGATGCAATATTTACAGCAGTTCTAGTGGGCCTACCCACTTAAATGTTTTATGGGTTTGACTTGGTCAAATATGGTACATAGATTCGTACTAGACACATAAATGCAATCCATTTACCTCCATTACTGAACATGTTGCATTGGAACCCCCTGGTTCGGCATGTAAAAAAATCAGTTTCTGTTGGGCTGGGATGGGCTCGAGCTGAGACCACCAGGATCCCACCAAGCCAATTGGCCCTGGCCTAATCCCATCTTGTGGATCTACAAGTTGGGCTTTTTCCGGGGCCCTTCTTTTATTTTATTTTTTCAAATTTTTCACCAAAAACTGAGCTTGCTGGGGTTAGGTCAGGTTGGGCGTCAAATACCTTGGCCTAGGCCCTACATGCGAAGTCATCCAGGTCTGGGCTCTGGCCAGCCCACAGTCCTCTGGCCAAATTTTACACAACAACATGGACGGATTAATCTCATCCCTTGACATTATTATGATGATAATCTTGTGTGGTTTCTTATACAAACCATTTTGCTTCCTTCAATGTACTGTATATGTCACAGGCAGCTCCAATCAAACTTAAGACTAGATACTTGAAGTGATCATGTTGGTTCTTGGATTCTTATTTTCATGGTATTTCATTGGCCTTAAGGATTAATGTAAACTAATCAAATTGATCATTTGATTTTTGATTTTGTGATTTTGTTTTTTAAAAAAAAAAAGTTTGTTTCTAAATTATCAGTTAGGCTAAGTGCAATTGTTAATTGGGAATGTTGGTATAGTCTGAGGCAGGTCATCAAGGAGACTGGGATGATAGCTTGCTGACAAAAGAGGAAAGAGAGGCAAGGCTGCAGAAAAAGGTGGAGGCAATCTTCAAGCGAGAAAGATCAATGGCTTATGCATATTCCCACCAGGTATTGTACCTCGTTTTAGCTCAAAGCATCTTTGTTTTTTGTGCCCATCTTATACATATGCTCATCGTGGAGTGGGACTTCAATTGGATCATGATGTTGCTGAATATCGACTCTGTATATCTGCCAAATCGACATTCTTAGTTTTGCCCACTGCATGTTTTATGTCTTGTGTTCAGAGACCGTAATTTCTTGCTCAGTCGATTGATGTCTTAGTCAGCACAACAAGAGTTTATCCCAAAATCTTAATCTTGTGTTGGATAGCTTGATATACATTGTTGGATCCATTTTCTAACAGCTTAAGTGTTTGCAAATAATTGGTGATTTAACAGTCTAAAAGGCTATGTGTCTCCCAAGAAATTCTCTGTACAAATTACTTGTTTTGGTGTCATTTGCATTTAGAATGTTTTTGTTTCCGTACATTTTCGTGTTTTCTGAAATAAAAACATTTGAGAAGTTTGAAAACTCCTATTGTTTCATATGATTTTCAATTTATTGGTTCCAACACAATTTCCTTTTCTTGATTATTTTTTTCCCCTGGCTTTTTATTTTTAAAAATTTCCTTGCCATCAGTTGTGGAAAGCCAATCCTAAATCAGCTCAAACATCGCAAACGGACATCCGGTCCGGTGGTTATCCTTGGTGGTGGAACTGGTTGGAACGCCAACTACCTCCTCCCACAAACCCTCCCGAAACTCAATCCATAAAGTCTTTGCACCCTAGTCCTCTGAGGCCTACTCTTGAGCCAAAACCGAGCCCACGACCCGCATCTGTCAACTACAAGCAACAGAATATTGGGTATGACAGTCTTGAAGTAACGACGCCAATGTCGACAAGATCAGCAGTACCTGCAAGAACTAAGCACCTCTTTACACCTACCAATAGAACACCACCGCGACACAGCTCTGGTCTGAATCTGAGATATTCAAAACCAAGAACTAGTGCTGCTAATTCTGCCTTTGATATGGCAATGAAGGATGACGACAGCCTCACGAGCTGCCCCCCATTTTCTGTTCCAAACTATATGGTGCCGACTGTTTCGGCAAAAGCTAAAGTGAGAGCGGGTAGCAACCCGAGGGAGAGGTTTCCAGGAACTCCGAGCAGTGTTGGTGGAGGTGGCGGTGGCGATTCGAAGAGGAGGTTTTCGTTTCCTCTAACACCGAACATTGGGTCTTTCAAGTGGAACAAAGGAGGGTCAAGCAAGGAATCAACAACTCCACAGAGGGTGTTGGAAAAGCATTCTTCTTTGCAATCTATAGATGATTTGAGTATTGATTCAACCATTTCTATGCCTGCTGCTGTTGGGAGGAAACCGTTTAACCGATTCGTGTGATTGCTTTTTTCGTTTTCTTAATTTTGGATTTGTTAACCTTTTTCTGTTATAACTATATTGGGGCTTTTCTGATTATTCTTTTTTTTTGCAATACTGAAGTTGTGTGTTGTTATAATTACTACAAAATACTGATCATATGTATAATAATAAAGAAACAGTAGGAAATGATGATGGGTTTGAATGGAAGAGGATTTGGGTTTTTTAAAAATGTAGTGTGTTCGCATTTATTCTGTTGGATTACCATCATTGACTCTAATGGATAGACATTCTTTGAATTACAAGCTTTCTTTTCTTTTGGAGTTGTCTTTTCTCTAGTCTATGATCTAGATTGGAGTGCGATGGTACAATTTATTATGAATTTTATTTTAATAATTTAAACTGTTCATTTTTATTGTTTTTGATGTTCATTTGGCACATGGTATCTTTTGTTCTCGCAACTTCTTTGTTTGTTGGCGAGCTCCAATTATTGGTCTGAGCTGACTTATTCGAAATTCTGGGTTTTTTCTTTTCTTTTCTTTTTTAAAATTTTATTTGTTTTCTTTTTTTTTTTTGTCTTTTTCTTTTCCTTGTTCATTTATGTTACCATTCCATGGTTTTTCTTTTCTTTTCGCACATAGCACCTTTTGAGTGTGTTTGTTTTGAGGGATTATTTCATGAGATTGAACTATTAATTTATTATTTAGTTCAATTTTTTTGTTTTGAATTAATAGTTTCTCGCGACTATTAGTCCTGCATAGGAAGGATTATTGTATTCTAAGGGGAGGGGTGAGATTATTTTTATGGAATTGGTATCCATGAGACTAATGTGTGAAATGTCTATTTTACCGTTATGTTATTACTTAGTAAACAATTAGAAAAGAGGGGGTTAGAATCTTGAATAAAAAATATAAATTATAAATTTAATTTAATTAAAATAATAAATTTAAAATTATGGCCTTATAAATTAAATTTTTTTAGTGTTGTTAAATTATAAATTATAAATTATAGATTACAAATTTAAAATTATATATTAAATAAAAATTATAAATTACAAGGGTAAAATAGTCTTTTAAACATTTATTTTTATCCAGTCCATCCAACCAAACATTGGATTTACTAAAAATAGTTCAATCCAGATATCTAATCCCATGACTAAACAAACTTAGGATACAAATGCAGTCCAACCAAATAGTCCAGGGACAATGTATCCAAAGACTAATAGTCCGATGGATTACGATCCACTCTTATTCAGTCTGTCCAAACAAGCACACCTTTATCTTTTAGGATTTTTATTTTGGGGAAATTACCCATAGGTCCCATGGGAAACATGTGATCTCCATTTAATCCCATAACTTTTTCACTACACCCAAAAGTCCTTTCCCCTCTCTCTCTGCTTTTTGCTTCCCTTCCTCCATCTTTTTTTTTCTACATTTTTCTGTCACCGTGTTTGTCATGGAAGAGGACAATCTTCTGCACCATAATCTACTTCCCGAAAGTACGAATCCACTTCCGAGTTCAAGAAGAACAGTTCCTTGATCATATCTTTCTCCATTGATCGGGGTTCATTGAAATCAACTCCGACGAAGAAGATGATATATTTTCCGACGAAGAAGATGAATGGATCTACTTAGATCTGATATAGATCTATCAGAGCCAAGTGATGTTGTATCCTACTTCTAACTGTTTAGCTACTTCTATTCAATCGTCTTTGTTGTTTGTTTAATTAAACCTGTTTTCAGTTCATCTTAATCACCCACAAGATCGGTCTTTTCTATCCATCTAGTTTAAGTCACCCACTTCTTCCCAGTCTTGTGTAAGACCTTCGGTTTAGGCAGAGTCAGACTTTGGGGTTTTAAGATAGGGTATGTATGTATACTAGGTATGTGATATAATTGACAAGAATAGGGTATGTATTAAGATATCTGTAAAACTGGTTAATTACAACAAAACAATGAATCGATTATTTCGAAGTAACTCATCAGTCAGTTCTAGGTCAACAACTTTGCCCTCTATACCTGATCAAGGGATTGTCATTAATGAAGAAGATGTTGAAATACAAAATAATGATAACATTAATTTAAACTGGAATATACCCAAGTTACCTATTAAGGAAATTTATAAAACCACTTTTGTGCAAAATACTTTTCATATTAACTTACATGTTAAAACAATTGAACAAGTTTATGCTTTATCAAAACCCAGGGAAACCTGTCAATTATTTGATTCTAATTTAATCAAAAGACATTTAAAAAATGGTAAGAATTTTATTCATCTTGGATTAATTCAAGTAGGTGTTAAGCCATTAACTCCACAAGGAAAAGATGCATATGTTTTATTATGTTTAAGAGATGCTCGTTTTATTGATTTTAATGATAGCTTAATGGGTATGATGGAAACTGGCCTGCACAAAGGACCAGTTCATTTTGATTGTTTTCCTGATTTTACACTTAGTTTAAGAGATCCACATATTTTGAAAGCATTAACCTTAAATATTCAATTAAATGGTTCATTTACAAATATGTTAGCAAAAGTTCATAATATTGCTTTAATATATTGTGTTCATTATAAATGCATGAAAACAAATTTAAATGTGCAAGCATTACACAAAAGTCCAAAAGATAAAACTCTGTTAATCCAAAGTAGTAATACTGAATCCCATATTAATGTTCCGCAAATGATTGAATGGAAAAACATTACTTTGCCTGATCAATGGATTACAACTAATGAAAATTACAAACATAATCAACAACAATCTTCCATTTCTGATGTTCAAGATATTCAACAATATAATGATGGTTCTGTTCGAATTAAATTCAATCGGAGTCAATCCTCTAGGCATAGTACATCTAGTGTTCCTACTGAAATTACCACTGAAGATGAAATATTTAATACTCCTTTATTTCGGAAAAATAGCCAAATCCATCTTGGTCAAACTACTCAAACTTCCCAAAATAAATTAAAAGGAATTGATAATTCTACAACTTCTCAGATCAGTAAACCTGTTTATACTACTACTTCACATTTCCCTGAAGAAGAAATTGCTTCAAATAATTCCCCAACTCAAACTGATTTCGAAGAATTTATACCACCTGTCAATCCTCAACTAATGACAATCAAAAAAGATTTTACTCCTGATTTAGATACATTACTTATTAACTTTAGATCCAAAGAAAATAGGTCTAAACGACATGCTTATCGAGCTAAATATGATTCTGCTCAACAATCTCGAATAACTAGAGAATGGTATAATTTTATGGTTCAATATGGTTTTGAACTATCTTTCTTTGATTACATGGATCAATATCATAAGAAGATTAATACAATCACAAAACATAAATGGAAAACTTCTCCAAACACTTCTGTTAGCTCCAATCATCCTCCATTAGAAAATATAATCATTGATCACCAAGGATCCGAAGTCCCGGCCTCTCCTTTTAAGTTACCTGGCACTGATCCTGAAATCAAAAAAGTTATTGAACAAAATAATTATACTAATCAATGTTTAAAAACAATTGGTAAACAATTAGATAAATTAGAAGTTAATCTCGAAGAACAATCTACAAAATCTGCTAAACCTCTAGATCAACCATTACTTAATCTACCTAGTCATCGTTCGAAACGAACCAGTCTAGTTACTAATAACCAATCTACCGTCAAAGCTATTGAACAATTATTTACTAAATTAACTCCCAATGATACTTCTACATCTAAAGATAAAGGTCTTTCTGTTTTGAATCAACAACCTACTCTTCGTCCTGTATCTGATCAATCTGAAACTGATACTACTGATAATGAAATAAATCAATTAGCTCAACAATTTCAACCTTCTCATCTGAATAAAATTCACTATCCCAAAGTTAATCCTCACAATACCAAAAACTGGTATTCTAAACCAACTCCTGTTGACCTCCAATTTGAAGACACCAATATTAGTAATCAATTTTCTGTTTCTGCTAAAAGATTATATGAATGGAATATTGATGGTCTTAGTGAAGATCAAATCCTTCAAAAATTAAATCATCTCTCTATGGTTGCCAATAGTTATCTTAGTAATTATCCTCAATATTCTCAACCTGAAATTGTTTCTTTACTTACTTCTGGTTTTACTGGTATGCTCAAATCTTGGTGGGAAAAATATCTCACTGAAACAGACCGTGACTCTGTTATTTATGCCAATCAAACTGATGACAATGGTCTCCCTATTTTTGATGAATCTATAGGATGTTGTCACCCTGATGGAATTAATCAATTAATATATACAATAGTTCGACATTTTATTGGTACCCCTACAAATATTTATTCTCGTATCCATGATCAATTAAGTAATCTTAACTGTCCAACCTTAAGTGATTTTAGATGGTATAAAGATGTATTTACTTCTAGAGTTATGTTACGAGAAGACTGTACTAAATCCTTTTGGAAAGAAAAATTTATTAATGGATTACCTAGCTTGTTTGCCCATAAAATTCGAGATGTTCTTAGTCAACCTACTGGTGTTATTGAATATGATAATCTCACATATGGTGATATAATTAGCACTATTCAAAAAGAAGGGTTAAAAATGTGTATTGACCTTAACCTTACTCAGAAAGCTAATAAAGATAAACATAAAGCTAAATATGAATTAGGCAATTTCTGTGAACAATATGGTTTACCTCCTGTTGCACCCTCTCGTACGAAACCACACAAATACTCCAAACATAAATCATCCTACAAACATTCCAATAAAAATAAATATAAAAAGCATTATACACCTTCTCAATCCAATGATAAATTCTATACTAAACCCAAAAAGAAATACTATAAATTCAAATCCCATCCGAAATCTAAATCAACTAAAGATGTTACTTGCTATAATTGTGGTCAAAAAGGACATTATTCAAATAAATGTAAAGACAAACAAAAATTAAAAGACAGAGTTAACCAACTCTCACTTGATGATAATTCCAAACATCAATTATATGAAATCTTTCAATTAAATCAAACTAGCAGCAGTACTTCTTCTTCTGATCATCCAGATACTTCATCTGATTCCCAATCACCTCGTGATAATTCTGATAATGATATTAAAATAGGTTGTAATGATGTTTGTTGTAAACCAGTTAAACAAATTACTGTCCTTACCAAAACTACTCAAGAAGAATCCGCTTTAATCGATCTAATTAGTAAATTAGACGATCCCAAATTAAAACAGAAATATACTGATAAATTAAAATCACTATTAATTCATTCGGATACCAAACC